TTTTATTTTTAATTCAAGTAAAACCCGAAAAAAGGGGGCGAAGCCAAATTGTTTGGTTACATCTTAAATCATTACTATATAATTGTGTAATCGTAAAATTCTGTATTCGTAGATCTAGAAACAAAAGAAAATTTCTGATTACACAAAAATGCACATTTACGTTAAATGCATATAATTGGAATTATTTTGAAAACGTTATAAGAACGCAATCTTTCACCGATTAATTCTCTCAAACAACAATGAAGGGCGAAAGAGAAATCAGCAAGGCTTCATTTAAATACAAGATTTCTGTGGATACTCTAAAATATCAAAAGTCATATTATTCACCCCCATTTGCTACGTCGGAAAATATGTTTTGGCAACTAAAATTTGATTTGGTAATTATGAATAATGAATTTTAATTTTTACAGCTGAAGGCTGAAATTTGCTGATCCTAAAAATTTCTGCATCAGCCAATTTCATTATAAGTTGCCACAATAATTTAACAAATTAACTTATGCAGGAATGCCAAGAACATCCAGAATATTGCTCGTTGTGGCTTGTAGCCTTGGCAAATCCACAAGAGAATGTTTCTACGGATATTTGGTCGGATAGAAGTGAATATTCCGCTACTTGTTTTATGAAAAACCCATACAGAGAAATGAACTTTGGGAAATTAGAAAACTATAATATTAGATCTTGTCTTTATGGTATGTTCTTTTTTTTCATTATCTTAGATTATTTGTTGTCAGCTGCCAAAATCTCAAATAGATTTATAATTTACAGGATTTGCAAAATTTATTGAAAAGAATAAACTTCCAAAAGAAGGCGAAGTGACAATCGGTGTTCGATTTAATAAAGTAATATTTTCGTCAGAAAGATCCACTCAAATATTTCCTTCTCCCGAGTTTCCACCTGAACTTATCAAAGTATGGAAATCCGAATGTAATAAAAGCTCAATTTCAGATGTACAATTTAATTTTCCAAATCATGATAATAAATGTGTATACGCTCGTAGTACTATTCTTACCGAACGATCTGAATACTTTAAGGCAATGTTACAACAAGGGGTTTGGAATGAATCACATATATCAGAGTCAGATGATGATGCTAGAACAAATGATGTTAAAATACCTATGGAAAGGACGTCAGAAAAAATCACAGAACTGCGTGAGAAAGTATCAACCTTCGGAAAATTGTCTGATGTTTACAAATCGTTTAAGTCTAAACGGCATAGAAAGAAGAAAGACTATGCAACGAAAATGGATACTTCGTCACAGGAGATACCGACATCAATTATTAGTACTTCGGTTATGGAAGAATCGCCAATTACTTCTTCCGTGCAAATAACTAACATTAACACTTCATCATCAACTTCTTTACCACAAGAAACAACTAACATGCCTTCAGCAAATAATGCAATTGACACATCTGCAACTGATGATAAAATTAATGCATC